AACCTTACCTTTACCCTTTTCCTTACCTTTACCCTTTTCCTAATCCTAACCATCACCTAACCCTAACCCTAACCAAAACTCAATTCATACCTTAGCCCTAACTCTGACCCCTGACCCAAAAACAGGGTTTCCCCTTGTTGGGACCAGGCTCCGGTCCCCACAAGGAGCAATTGGTCCCTACAACGTAATATATGTCAGGAAAATCGTCCACACAAGGTATTACAAACAAATGCACACACACACACACACACACGCACACACACACACCCCCACACACACACACACACACACACACACAATATTAAAATTGCACATATATACTATTAAAATGTCACACACATAAAATTTTTCTCTCAAATGCATACACAAAATACTAAAATTGCGCACGTACACTATTAAAATATAACACACGCATACAATTTTCTCTGACATATACATAAGAGACTAAGATTGCACATATAAACTAATAAAATATTGCATGCACACACATACACACAAAGCATACAGACATACTATTCTGAATGATAGGTCGAAAATGTGTGCATGTGTGTGTGTGAACTAACACTAGACTGAATGAATGAATGAATGAATGAATGGGGATGAGACTTGAATTTCTCTGTGCGAGGAACTCATTTTTTGTATGTGTGAGAGTTGAGGCGGCCATAATTGGGAGATCAGATCTGATCTTCAAATTATGCCCCGCCTCTTCCGTGACACTCTCACACATACAAAAAAGGAGTCTCTCACACAGAAAAATTCAAGTTTCATCCCTATTAATTCTTTAATTAATTAATTCAACCTAGCGTTAGTTTACACACATTTTCGACCTATCATTCAGAATAGTATGCCTGTATGCTTTGTGTGTATGTGTGTGTGATATTTTAGTAGTGCATATGTACAATTTTAGTCCTCTGTGTGTGCGAGAGAGAGAAAAAAATGCATGTGCGTGCAATATTTTATTAGTTTATATGTGCAATCTTAGTCTTTTATGTATGCGTGTGAGAAAAAAAAATTGTATGTGTGTGTGATATTTTAGTATTTTGTGTGTGTGTGTGTGTGTGTATGCGTCTGCGTGTGTGACATTTTAGTAGTATAAAGTGTGCAATTTTAGTATTTTGTGTCTATAAGTTTTTAGTAGTCATGGGTTCGGCAACACCGATGCGTCGGGTCATGCATCAAACCCACAGACCAAAATCCCGTGTCGGTGCGCATATTGGTTTCAGCATGTCACGTGACTGATACAGGAAGTGTTTCGAAATTACCTTAACGCGCCAAAACTGTGTTTATAAGGAAGCAAATCTGTTAGTCTGTCAAAAGCATTTGCTAAACGAATTCTTGATCTTTTACGGTACAGCGTCAACTATGGAGCAGCTTCAAAGGAAAGGTTTCCTCAGTGTGGGGCCATTTTGATCTCATATAGGAAAATAAATTTGTTTTCATTTTAGTTGTTTCATCTGGTTCCAGTCTCTATTTGATCTATCTGAATCCAAATTCAGCTGAAATTGACTTTTAGTTTATTTTCATATTATGTTCTGCAGGTTAAGTGTCGCATATGTTTGACTAAACTGTCTTATTTAAATAAATCCACCTCCTCAATGCTGAGGCATTATGAGGCCAGGCATGAGAATGAAGTCCCAGAAAAACCTAGATAAACTCAGATATACAGCCATTTTACAAATTACTCAATTGCTTTTTATACATTATTTCATATACAGTGATCCCTCGCTATAACGCGGTTCACCTTTCTCTGTATCGCTGCTTCGCAGATTTTTTTGTGCAGTTTTTTTTTTTTTTCTCCACAGTGTTCTGTGTGATTGACCTATGATCAGTGTCTATGCTGTGTCAAAAAGTTTGGGAACCACTGCTCTAAAGTGATTAAAATACTTTTCGGTTTTATAACACAAATTTATTGATATAAATTTTTCTTCAGGGTGACTCTGGTTCAGGAGTGATTTTGAACCCCTAATCCTAACAACATGATTTATGGTGTGATTGTTAGTTCTGGACTAGATGCATATCAGATTCCATCTGGTGTCATGGATGTGTGTGAATACATGGATTGGATAAAACAACAAACTGGGCTTAAATAAAACAAACTATCATGAAATAAAATTATCGTCAAATTCCTTCTCAGAAACAATTTCATAGTTGTATCTACATTAGTTATCTGAATGTAGATACAACAGGTTTGTATAATTAGGGTAAATTAATAGTTCTGTTTTTTCTCACCTGACCTTGACCGCCTAATGGAGCTTCCTGTGCCTCAGAAATGAAAAATAAATCAATAAATGAATGCAAAAGAATCATTTCCTGGCTCATCATTTTTACATTCATGCTTCAGTTTGTTCAGTTGATATTTTCCCTGAACTGGGTCTAAAAACGTGACATGAGTTCTGAATAACATGAAGAGGAACACCAGAAGTAATGTATTTATTCAGTTTGTGTCTTTCTTTTACAACAGAAATGAACATGCAGCATCTAAACTCTGCAGCTCTGGAGATACCATTTATGATTTAGTTCTAGAGAACTTTAGACTCCAACAAGACCAAAGAGCTGTACACAAAAATAATGAAACAGAAGTCACATGATACAATTAACATATAATAAAATTAGAAGAATTTTTTAATTTTTTTTTTAATACATTTTTAATGAAGATACAAATGAAATAAAAATTGCAACCATTTCAAAGTCAAAATCTGGAATGAAAGAGAAGTTTTAAGAAAATAATTAAAAAAACGGGTGAAACTAATTAAACCTCTAGAGACTCACATAGAGAAAAAGCAGCACTTGGAAAGTTTTACTGGCCCAAAACTTTTGGCGCTCAGACACCGGCAGAAGACGTACGTGCTGAGAATCGCTGCGAGCTTGGATGATCAGCTCTGGGCGAAGCTCCGGGTTTTTTTCCCCCCAAAAGAGGGCACCGGTGTTCTGTCTATCAATGCTACCTCATCAGATTTTCCTAACTTAGCGCAGATAGATAGCTAACTCTGTCTATCTGAGCCGACAGAAACAGAAAATGTTCAGAAAAACTGATCAACATTTCAATGAAACCTAACTGATGACTGAAGGGGGGGCGGGGGGGGGGAAGAGAAACAACATCTTGATATTCAATGTGAGGCTTTGACTGAAAACAAACAGAAAAACAAGTGGATCTTGGAATAATCCTGGAATAATCCCAGCTTCCATTTTTAAAGGACTGGAAGAAGAAAAAATTTCCAAGGACTCAATCTGAATTGTTTCACCAAGAAATAGATTGGAGAGACTGAACTATCTGTTCAACAGTGAGGGAGTTTCTCTGACAGGAGGAAACTCTTTACTCTTTAGGCTCAACTCGTTTTAAAACTTCACCTTGCTTTATGTAACCAGGTGAGAAATGGGTACATGTCAAATGCATTTTGTAAACCGTGTTTTGCTTTTATTTCACTGACTGGTTGTAATTCTTGTTTTTGTCAGCATGTGGTGCTGTTGCTACAGAGGTCTAAAATGACCGGAAATAAATAAAAACAAAAACCCTCTTGTTTATGTGCAGTCATGCTCAAAGGTTTTGAGAATGATTCAAATGTTAATATTTACAAAGTCTACTGCTTCAGTTTGTATAATGGCAATTTGCATATACTCCAGTATGTTATAAAGAGTGATCAGCTTAACAGCAATTAATTGCAAAGTCAATATTCATCTAGAAAATTAACTTTATCCCCCAAAACACATTTCAACTTCATTGCAGCCCTGCCTTAAAAGGACCAGCTAACATCGTTTCAGTGATTGCTCCATTAACACAGGTGTGGGTGTTGATGAGGACAGGGCTGGAGATCAATCTGTCATGATTAAGTAAGAATGACACCACTGGACACTTTAAAAAGAGGCTGGTGCTTGGCATCATTGTTTCTCTTCTGTGAACCATGGTTATCTCTAAAGAAACACGTGCAGTCATCATTGCACTGCACAAAAATGGCCTAACAGGGAAGAGCAGCTAGAAAGATTCACCTCAGTCAACAATCTATCGCATCATCAAGAACTTCAAGGAGAGAGGCTCCATTGTTCCCAAAAAGGCTCCAGGGCGCCTTTCTGACTCAACTCACGACAATGAGGTGGATCTTGGAATAATCCTAGAATAATCCAAGCTTCAATCTTTGAAAGATATGAGGGGGGAAAAGTTTCCTAGGAATCACTTTAGAAGAGTTTCACAAAGGAACAGAATTAATCCATGAATCTGACTATGTGTTTTTGAGTGAAAGAGAGACATGAAGAGACTGACATATCTGTTCAACAGTGAGAGAGTTTAGAATCAACTCAGCACAGAAACATTGAAGAACCAGAACTGGTCCACCAGAACCCAAAACCAGGAAGCAGAGGTTCGGTGAATGTGGTGTTGAAGGTGTGGAGGTGGATCAGTGAGTCAGAGGAGACTCTGTAGAAAGACAGAATGCCAGCAGGATCGTCAACATACACTGCTACTCTGTTAGAGACGGAGGAGGAGAGAGGAGTTTCTATGTTACAGTGCCTGACAAAGAAACCAAACTCATCAGAGCAGATTAAACTCCAAGAATAATCATTCAATCCAAACAAACAGTCTTCACTGTTTACTTTCCTCCTGATTCTTCTGTAACTCACTGATAGCTCAACTCTTCCTCTCCACTCGACCTCCCAGTAACAGCGACCAGTCAGACCAGTTCTACACAGCAGCTGAGGATGATAATCAAATCTGTCTGGATGATCAGGATATGACTGAAGCTCCTTCACATGTGTCACCTTCCTGTTGTCTTCAGACAGTTGGAGCTCTCTGCTCACTGTGTTTGTGTCGATGGTGAGTTGACAGGAATCTGATGGGGAGAACAAACACAATCCAGCTGCAGTTATTGATCATTTATTGATCTTTGATGATGATCCTGAATGAGTGATGTGACAGTTTGAAGATGGTTGAATGTGAGCTGCTTTGTTGTCATGAATCAGATGAAAAACACACTTACACTTCCTCAGACCTGGTGTCAAGAATCGGCCTCCAGCAGGCTCCACCCTGAAAGGAGGAGGGGGGTCAGACCATCAGTCTCTTTCAGCAGCAAACATGGACATTACATGTCTCTCAGACACACATTGTCCTCCACTGAGATAGGAACAGTCCAACATTTGGATTGCAAACTGCAGTGCATGTAGGAAAAACAGTTGTTGGTGCTGCTGCAGCACAACTCATTTCTCCAAACACAGGAAAAGCTCCAACAGAGAGGAGAAAGGAAACCCTGGACATTGGGAAACTAAGGAAACATTTCTGGAAGCTCAACCTGATTTAATAATCACCATTAAAACACAATCAATCTAAACTCTGATCAACACCCGGATACCTGCTCCATCCACACAGATGAAGGAATGAAACACTAAACAACCTGCTGCTGAAAACCTGCTGTGGCCTCACTGGAATATCCAGAAATACGAACATTAAAAAGGAGAAGCTGCGTCGCATTCAACAAAGAGTTCAACAAGAATCAAACAAGTTGTAACTTTGCAAACATTCATTTATAAATGCCATGGATGCAAACTAAATATTTAATTATCAAACTAAATACTTAGCTTCAAAGTAAATGTTCTCCAGCAGACTGACTAAAGACGTTTCTCCCTCTTCCTCCTCTATCAGACCTTCTCTGCTCCTGCAGCAGGTTCCTCCATACCTGAGAGCCTCCAGTCTCCAGTCTGGATCCTTCAGTCCAGCCGACAGCAGCTTCACTCCCGAGTCTCCTGGATGATTGTAGCTCAGGTCCAACTCTTTCAGATGGGAGGGGTTGGAGGTCAGAGCTGAGGCCAGAGAAGCACAGCCTTCCTCTGAGACCAAACAGCCTGACACGCTGCAGACACACAATTCATCACAAGATGAGAACGTTGAGGTAGAACGCCAGGCGAGAGCTGGTCTTTTTCACAAGAGGAAAAAAGTCAATAAATTGTGCTTAACCTGTCAACAAGATAAAGTAGTAGTAACAGTCTAATTTCTGTGGGTAATAAAAATCAACAGTTGCCTCATGTAGAAAGGATCAGAATACAAACGCATTTCATTGTTCGCGTTTACCAGCAGCAAGATTAAAGTAATTGAAGAATTGGATGTTCAAGAAAAGGTAAAAATAAAAAATAATACGACACATTTATGACAGTAGAATAATAATGCTATCCTTTTAATTAAAAAACAGCATAATCATTTTGTAAGAAATGTGCAGCTGAGTAGGGCAATTTATAATCATGTTTGAATGTTGAAACAGCTCTAGACTATTTAAAAGAAATTTTAAAAGACTGCATGTAACAGCCAATATGCACATAATTGTTGAGTTTGTTGGGAGCCGTTCTGGTTAGAAAGTCTTAACAACTGCTTGGAGATAGGATCTGTTATAATACTCATTTGGATGCTGCAATCTGTCAAGTATCCAGAGTTAGACTAGCAATGGAAGTCTGACCGCTGCCTTTCTAAACACCTCTGTTTTTGGCTCTCTCAACCTGGAATAAATGAAAACCAGCAACGTTTATGTGTCTTGTTAGCCACTTGTTAGTGATAGGATGCTACTTATCACAGTTCCACGCTGGAATTCATAGAGTTCCTGAGATCAACCCATTCTTTCACAAATGTTTGTGAAACAGCCTGACTAGGTGCTTACTTTCATACACCTGTTACCATTGAAGTGATTGGAACACCTGATTCCTATCATTTGGATGAGGGGTCAAATACTTTTGGCAGTATAATGTATCTCTGTTAGCAGCTAGTAAACAGAAACAACTGGTTTCACCAGGATTGAGAACATTTTACCTGAGAGTCTCCAGGTTGCAGTTTGGACTCTTCA